TTGTCAAGTATTTGTAATATCACTTATGGTTTTTTTGTCTGCCAAACTATCGCAAATTTACAATTTGAAGGATAGAAATCTCTCTTTTACATGCATGAGTTTGGTGGGCAAATTGCCATTTAACCCTTACAAAAACAAAAACTGCTACAGTCTCGTTACGAAACTATTCTATCAGGATTTGTAACCGTCGTGAATAGTTGATCTAACGGTTTCAAAACCCGACGGAATGGTTCTGTGACCATAGCATCTAACACAAAAACGATCCAATTATATAAATATTTAACTAAAATCCATTTGTAATTTGGTCTTTCGAGTAAAATTAATTCTCAAGGATTGTTATTGTAATTATACATCCCTTTCTAATTGACAATTTATGCTATATTTGGTAAAACTAGCTGAAAAGTTAGTCGATAGCTGATAAGCTAGCTTATAGTTTATTAGTAATTTTCGAGCTTATCGCTTATACCTTATGGACTATAGCTGAAAACTAGATTAGATGATAAAAGTGTTTGGTAAAATTAGCTGATAAACTAGCTGAAATAAAAATTTCAACTAGTTTATTTGAGAAGCTACCCAAAGAAACTTATCAAATAAGCTCGAGCTTTTTAAAAAAACTCGTCCTACCAAACGGAGCTTATTTGAATATAGGGAGCTTATAAGTTAACCAAATAAGCTATAAACTAATTTATTTGTCTACCAAACATAGCCTTATTCGTCGTGTGGGTGCATTGCACAAATGATGTTTTCTGATGACGGAGAAACCTTACATCGACCGCCTCATATTTTAGGAAAATGCTAAATTCCGTAGCGGGACCATTCCTAAAAAAAAAAATCCAATGAAAAATTGTCACGTTAGCATTTATGGACTACATCTAAAAGTCCATATCAAACTAAAACATCCAATGATTAATATTAAATGAAACGAATCAAACCTTGACGGGATTGTAGCCATCCCCATTTTTAGGCATTATTTCAAAATTGGTCCTATAACTTGGCCACTGTCCAAAAAACCACCCCTATATTGACCACTTTCAATTTAGGTCCTATAATTTGTCGATTTCACCAATTTTGGTCCTTTTTATCCGGACCCTGGATTAAAAAGTGATGTGGAATATTGACATGTCAATTTTTTAAGGTTACATGGCATGATTATGATTTACGTGGCATGTCAATTTTGGTCCTATAATTTGTCGATTTCATCAATTTTGGTCCTTTTTTCATGCCACGTCACTTTTTAATCCAGGGTACGGATAAAAAAAGGACCAAAATTGATGAAATCGACAAATTATAGGATCTAAATTGAAAGTGGTCAATATAGGGGTGGTTTCTTGGACAGTGGCCAAATTATAGGACCAATTTTGAATTTTTGCCATTAATGAAGTCTTACCTTCTACTCTAGCATTTATCGTGTATATAGTGCTTAGTTGTACGGACTGTGTAGTAATAATTGGCGTTACTAAGGGTCGAATCCGAATTGGTGTTCGGCCCTCTCTCACGGGTCGATCTCCCATGGGTCAACGCCTTATTGGTCGACTTCCTGCGGGTCGATGTTTAGTAAAGATTTGATGGGCAAGGGATAACCGAGTTACCCGACTCGGGTCGATCTCGAAGGAAGGCTATTCGGAGCTTTGTCTACTAGATGATCGTCCAAATCACAAAAATCGAAAATAAAATCCGAAACATTCTAAACAATTGATTGAGATGCTAATTACGATGATGGAAAGCGATTAAACGAACAATAAGCAAGTGAACGTACTACAAACTCTAGCAACTAACCGGTGCACAAAGCCAAGGGCAACAAAAAGCCAAAAC